TGATAAAGCACCCCAGAACCAGGCAAAACCCCAAACCAAAACTAAAAAGAAAACCACCCTGCAAATAGCCTTTGAAATATTTACTGTGACAGGGCTGGGTTGGTTTACGAACTTAGTTTGTTTTATGATTTGGGGGAAGATATCTGCATTTGTGTCTGTGTGGGAAGAGGGCTGTGGCTGGGTTTGTCACCTGATACAGTTTTTGAATGGAAGCAAACTTCTGCTGAGCACTTTTGTTTGAGAACTGAATTGTTTGCAAACAGAAGTGTTCGTGAATGGAAATATTACTGTACTGTATATAGAAGAAGTTTATCCATGCTAGAGAGGCCCTAAAATTAAAAAACAAGCTAATAACTGTACAAATATACAAATTATAAATTAAATAATGAAACAAAGTAACAGGCAAATATGTTATACAAATTCTACATTGATGGAAAACTTAGAAGGCTTCAGTTTGCCAAAGAAAGGGGAATATCACATAGGAACAGCAGCGCCCCCCGCCCCGCCATTACACTAAATGCTACCCTCAGGAGTGTTTGTGGAAGTAACAAGCCACATACAGTGGCCTTCAGCTTCAAGGCCACCAGCCACGCAAGTCTAAGTTAGTGGATTGAACATTCCATCTGTTTTCAGTCAATGGGTACAAGCATTAGGAACATGAAAGTGTGGGCTTTGGGATGACCTTCTCCTTGCAGGCGTGTGCATTAGTCATGGTGCTCCATGCTCCAAGAAACAGCTGATAGGAGGCAAGTGCGAGTATATAAATGCATGAGGAAAGGGATTTATTACAATGGATGGGCTCACAAGGCCAAGAACCCCATGATCTGATGTCTGCACCAGGAAAACCGGTGATGTAGTTCCGGTCCAGACTCGAAGGCCAGACTCGAAGGCCAGACCCCAGGCTGTGCAGTCTCCAGCCAAAGGAGAAAGCGATGTCCCAGCTCCAGAAGACAGACCCAGAGCCTTTCCTCTGCCTTCTTGTTCTGCTCGGGCCTCAGTGGACCAGCTGACACCTACTCAGGGGGTGAGCCTGGGTCTTCATGGCTCAGGCCACCACTTCAAAGGCCCATTCCTTTCGGAAACAACCTCAGACACACTCAGAAATCATGTTTACCAGCTCCAGGGGCATCTCTTAGCTGAGTCAACTTGACAAAAAATCTACCATCATATCTTCTAGGAACACTCTGAATGTAATCAACTTAAAAAGCATTGAAGAGCACTCATGCCATACACAACCCGAAATGTCCTGAAATCTTATACCTTACTAAGAAAGAAATATGATAGAAGACCCAAGGAAGAGTTGAGAATGTGGAAGAACCTCTTATAAACTGTTAAAAATATAAAGCAAATTTCTACCAACTACAGTAAAGAGTACTTTAAAGCAACTTTCCATTCCTCTATAGAAAAAGGTGTTAGAAATTACCAAGGTGACCATCGAAGTGTATACAACCAAAAGGAAAATAGGAAAAAAGAATAACAGTCCTTAATACGTAGGAAAAAATATAAGCTGTCATTAATAAAAATATTATGCCTGTCCTGTCCCCCTACATTTTGTGATATGGCTTAATTTCTAAATATTTCAAAACTTGTAGTGATCCATTCCCTGGGTCAAAATACATATCTCAAATTAGAAAGCATAAAATAAAATAGCCATTAAAACCTGAAACTTTGATCATCATACAATTGATGAAAGTCTCACGCCATGGGGGCATCAGTAAAGACTGTGCTCCGCCGTATGTCCTTAGGAAAATACCCCCACCCTGACCGTGGCAACAGCCGTCTTTCTCAGAACATCACGCGGGGCTCCTGCCCGAGTTCCTGACACACCCCGGGGACAGAGAGGGCTGCCCTCTCTGGGGGCCTCATTGGAGGCCACAGGCTGATGGGTGGGATGGGCCATCATGGGAGAGGCTTCGTTGTTGTTGTTTTTTGAGGGGGTACCAGGGATCGAACTCAGGTCCTTGTGCTTGCACAGCAGGCGGTGAAACCACTGAGCTAAATCCCCGGCCCGAGGCCTCCCTGTTGGAAAGGGGACAGCACCCCGGGGCCCCTCCAAAGGGGGAGACAGAACTCCTGAGACTTTGAGAAGGTTGAAGCCATGCTGGTCATTTCTGAGTCGAGCTGAGCAGGTGATTGTGATGGTCAGTTTGATGAGTAAGCCTGCTGAAGTCACAGTCCCTGCTGATTCAGTCCTGACCACAGGTGTTGAAGGGAGGACTTTTGTTGCTAGGATTCAGCTCCAAATCAGCTGACACCAAGGGAAGGCGATTCTCCTGATGACTGGGGTGGGCCTGGCCCAATCAGGTGAAGACCTTAGAGGAGGGCTGAGGCTCCCTGAAGAAGGAGGAATTCTGCCTGTGGACACAGTCCTTGCTGTGCCTGAGAAGCCCTCTTGTACTCAGAGCCTGGCCCTCAACTATGGAACAAATCCCTGAATCCAGGTCTTCTCCTGCCATGTCTCTCTGGTTGACCTGTACAGAAAGAAAACCACAGAGAAAAACAAAGTTTTCGCCAACATTTTGGGATGTGTCCTCAGATTTCCCATTCTCCTGCAAGCTCCACCCTGCCCCGACTCGTGGTGGCCCCTCTGCCTGACAGCCCCTCCTGAAGGCTGGCTCCTCACAGCAGGCTGGGGACCTGGGCTGGCTCACAGGGTCTCTCCCCTGCTGTCGCCGCCCATCGTCTGCCTTGGCATTCGCTGAGACGTTATGGTGTTGATGCACCTGCTCCCTGTTTACCCTGCACCCACCTTGTAGCATATACATCCCTTGGACTTTGTTTTGTGTCTGCTCCCCTCAAACTCCACATCCGAGGGTATTGCTCTGCAAACCTTGTGGCATAAATGAATGACCTGGAGGCTGGATGGTCAAGGGCTGCTGCAGAATTTCAGATTCTGAGACACATGGCTGCCTGCTCCCGTCCCCAGTCTGGGCAGCTCCACAACATCCCTGTCCCTGCTGCTGGGCACCTGGGCTTCCTCCTGCTCATCAGCTGCTGGGCTGTTGTTGGCTGCCAGTGGCTCTGCAGCCCCCGGCCTGCACCCTCTGGCTCAAGCGTGCACACTTTGTTCCACGTGCAAACACTGCGCTGGACAGGAGCGTTCTGCCCGGCCCAGGAAGTACCTCAGTGAACTTGAGCCTGGGCCTTGGCCAGGCTCGGAGCTTGAAAAGTTCAGGGTCTGCAGAGATTTCAAGGCCAGGCAGAGCCATGGCCTAGTGCAGGCTAAGGTCAGAGCTGCTTTTGTTCCTCAACCCTGGAAGGGTCCTTAGCGTTCCTGGCCTCTCCTTATGCTCTAGGGCCCCCTCCCCTTCCACATGAAAACAGAGCCCAGAAGGGGCTCCATTCCCATGATGCAGATGGGGAAACTAAGGCTCCGAAAGGTGAAGTGTCTTGGCCTAGGCTCAGCAAAAGCCCTGGAGCACAGCTGAGTCCGTGGAGACCGGGATAGGGCATGAGTTGCCGGGGTACAGGGCATGCGCCCCACTTCGTGCCAGGCAAGGGCCTTCTTGGGGCCGCTCCCTGAGCCCCATACGCATTCTGCCTCTGCAGCTCACAGGGGTCCCCTGGGGTGGCCTGGGGTGGAGAGCTGCGGCCCTGTTTGAGAAGTGGCGGCTGCTCCAGGGCTGATTAACGTTGCTTGAATCCAGGCAGCAGGATCCATTAATGCAGAGCGCTCCTCTCAGGGACAGTGGCCGGGTGCTGGGGGACTCGCAGGCACCACCACGAGCACAGCCAGCTGGGAGAAGCTCCACTGTCCTCTCAGTCGCCCGCTGGAGCCTTGGTATTGCACAGCAGCTCTGCCGTGCTGAGTCTGGGTAAAGGAACTGTGGGGACAGAGAAAGCCGAGGACAGGACAAGAGGCCAGTCCACCCTCACCACGTAGCTGACTCGCCTTGGGCGCCAGGTGTGACATTACCTATACTGAGCTTTCGAACCCCGAATAGAGACTGACTCCCCTGACCTCAGGCTCCTGCCGAGGACCAACCAGCACAGCTGGGGCTTCTCCCCAAGTTCTTCTCTGGCCAAGGGCAAGGCTCTGTCCCCAGACACAGGTTTAAAGGGCTGCTGAAAGACAAACATGGGCTGGGCTCCTTGACAAATCCCCTGTCTGGCATGTTCTGTCCCCCCAGGCTCCCTGAGGGTGGGCTGTGTGCTGCTTCCCACTATGCTGGTCCCGAACCCCGTCAGTCTCCCATGGGGATCCCTGGTCAGAGGTGAAACCACTGAACTAAATCCCCGGGCTGACCTCTTTCCTTTCCATTCCCTTCCACTGTTGCTGAAGTTGTCCAGTTGTGTTTTCTCTCTGTCTTTTCCTCCCTCCCTCTGTGTTTACGGAGCTCCCACTGTGTGCCACGCCTTGTGCTAGCCCCTGGAACATGCCTTTTCTCAGTGACTGTCTCTCCTTGGGCCGGTGCTGCAGGTGTCAGGGGGCGAAGGGGAGTGGGGGCAGAAGGGAGGACAGCCTGGAGGTCCAGGGGCAGAAATCTGGGCAGTAGAAGCATAGCACGGTGACTGAAAGGGCCCCCTTTTGGGGGTTACACCCTGGACGGCTTTGCGTGAGGGGCTTTGATTTTATCCCAAGTGCTGTGGGAGGCTGGGGCTTTTGATCAGGGGATGACAGAACAGCAAGCAGGTCACACTCAGGGCCCCTCCATCAGCTGTCTTCCACAAGGAAGCCACAGAGCCACCTTCCCGGGGGCCTCGCTGGGCACCTCCGGGGGAAGAGTGTTGTCATCATTTCCCTTTGGGGGCCACCCGTGTGACCTCCCGCTGGCCCTCTCCTGCCGGAGTCTGTGGTGCTGGGCTGTCTCATCGGCCAAGGCATGAACTCATCAGCTGCCTCCTGTGGGGCCCCTGTCTGAGCGTGTCTGCCGCTTCATGGTGGGACAAGGACGCTGTGTTCCGGCGCTGGGCTCGCCAACATCCTTGATGAGTAACCGGGACCATCAAGGGACAGGGAAGCGGTCACAATGCCTCTATTGTGCTTTCGTCCCCGAGCACAGAGCGCTGGGCCGCGCCAGGCTGGGCTGGCAGCCGCAGCTGCTGGGGACACGGCAGGCTCATCCGTCACCCCAGCGGGAGGCCCGGGCAAATGCCCAGCTGCCCCGGGGACGCCACCTCCGCAGAGCCGCCAGAGCCCCACGGAGCAAACAGCTCTGCTTGTCTGCAAACAACAAAGGGTCCTTTCTGCAGGGCGGGCGCATACGGCATGGTGGAGGGCGGCGGCTTCGTTTGTTCAACCCCTCATTTCTTCTTGTTCATTTGCTATTCCTCCAGCACCTTCAAGAACTTTACCTAAGAGGCGGAAATGACAGTCGATGCTTCCTTAGCAGACGTACACTTCTTTCCAGGTCGGCTGAGAGTTTTCAGACTTGGTCATCAGGTTTAATCTCCCCCCGTCTCCCGCCGTGGGTTCTGTTCACTCGGGCTGACTGGGATCGAGAGTTTGGGCCTGACTCTCCCAGCTCCTGCAGACGTGTGGCCCCGGGCTGGCTCCGCACCTCCACGGCTCTCACATGCGGGCGATCCAGACCCCTCCACTTGATGTTCACAGCTCGGGGGAGGGGCTGTGTGATTTAACTAACAAGCTCCATCCTAGTGACGGCGAGGAGGACATGGCTGGCCGGAGACGTTACCATCAGGAGTGACGTCTCTTCAGGATTGGGAGGATAAATGCGGTGTGGCATCTTCCTATACCAGATCACCGGGCAGCAGCTGGTTATGGGAATGAGCTGCCAGACAGAAGTTATACCTTAGACTTCCATTTCTGTGAAGTTCAAAACCAGGCTGGACTAATGCACAGCACAAGTTGATGACAGCGATTGCCCCTGGGTGGGGTACGGGTGCCCACAAGTGGGGCTCCTGAGCCAACAGAGCCTTCGGGTCCTATATCTGAGGACTGGCTAGATGGGAATGTTCACTTCTCAAAAATTCATTGAACAGACACTTGTGATTTCAGTATGTTAAAAAAAAATATGTTCACATTCAATAAGAAGGGTACTAAAAGTGTCAGAGTTATAAATAAAATAAAATAAAAACACAGCAAACCAAACTAAAAAATTATCTCCTCAACAACTCTGGACCAATGAGAAAAATGATTAAAGACCTGGAACATACTCTTCTTTCAAGAATTTGTCCTAGGTAATTAATCATGGACACGTGCAAACACTAAGCAGTGTTTTTATTGCAGAGTGATTTAGAACAGTAAGAAATTGAATATTATCCAAGTGTTTACAGAAGAGATTGGGTGAATATATCAGGGCACAGCCACGATGGAATATTATTCAGTCATTAAAATTATATTGTAAAGAAAAACTGTTTCATAATGTGGAAAGGTTCATAATATGTTATTAAATAGTTATTATAGGTTTTTAAATGGTGTTGCCTTGCTTTTTGTACAAGAAAAATAACTGGATAGAAACACACCAAAATATCCATAGTTATTATCTCTGGATAATGGAATTGCAGGTTACAGAATCACGTTTTACATTTTTGCAAATTCTTGGCTCTGAGCATCTATTACTATTGTAATCCACAAAATGTTCATTGAAAAAAAGATAGCTCTACTATTAGTTTTGAAGCCAGCATATACTAGGCAAAGAATATATTTTCTGTAGATATTTCATACACGTGAGAGTGGTTCACTTCTAGCACAAAATCTGGGAGCTATGAGAGAAGACAGGTGTGGCAGAGGATTTATTGTGATGGAAGGGGACCAGGGACATTTTCACGGCGAATCTGGCAAGAAAGTAGCAATGGAAAACAGGTCTGCAAGAGGTGAGAGGAGAATGGATTCTGAGATCGAAACTGTGTAGGCTTTGGCCACAGCATGAGCAGAAAAGAGGGGAGTCCTCATGTTATGGTTCGGGTCTAGATGTCTCCCCAAAGCCTCATGTGGTCGTAGGGTGGATCTAGAGTGTGTGAAACTGGAATTGATTCACGGTGCAATGCTAGGCTCAAGGGCACTGGGATTAAGGGTGTGAGTGCTGCCCACCCTAAGTAGTCTGAATAAGACAAAAGGGGCAGGGAGACGCTGTTAAAGCTCTCTTGTTACCTTTGCTGCCTGGTGTACACCATGTTGTTTCTCCTCTGTGATGCCTGTTTGCCATCCCAGCCTTGGAGTCAGCTGACTATGGACTGAAACCTCTACAAACTGTAAGCCAAATAAACCCCTTCCCTTTTAACTTTGGGTGCCAGGTATTTTGTCTCAGCGACGAGAGAAAAGTAACCTACCTTGGGGGCATGATTTCTGAGCTCTAGGTTCTGCATTCTGCTCTCTACATTTCAAGGCTTCTGGGTTATTACTGCAGTAAGGAGTTGCCAAAGCAGGGCTGCAAAGTGATGACAGACAAAGTGTGATCAAAATATATGGTGAATATTTAGATCTTAAAAATCTATCACAGCAAAAGACTCATTGCCATTAGTCACCTTCAAAATATTACCCCTCACTTCCAGCACACTTATGGGCTCGTCCTTGACACTTCTCAAAGCGGCTCTGGAGTCCTGTTTCTTGAGTGTCTTTATGAGGTGAGATCACAGATGTGGTGAATGCCACTGCCCAGTGCCATCTGACAGAAAGGCAGGCTGGGAAAAACATCACAGTGTGTCCTCCTCTGACTTGTTCACCAGATCTGGCACCATGGGACTTCGGCTCTTCCCCAAAGTCAAAATGACCTTGATAGATCCATGTTTTGAACTGATTTAGGACTCAGAGGCGTCAATGACAGCAAATTAGGACCCTGATCCTCCCTCCTTCTTCCTCCTGCTCCTCTCTTCCTCTTCCTCCCCCTTCCCTTCCGGTGAGCTGCACCGGCTCAGCTAGAGCTGCAGGTCACGCAGCCTCCCCTGGTGCAGTCTCACATTTTCTATTTCGGGTAGGTTTTCTCAGCACGAGGCCCTGCCTGCTCTGCCGTCAGGACAACCCCAAGTTCTTTCCCTAGAATATTCCCCTTCACCTCTCCTCCTCCCACCCTGCACTCTCACAGAGAAAGTCTCCCCCTGCCCTTCAACACACTCATTTCTGTACCTCACAAGTGTAATAACATTCTGAAAATACTCGCCCAGCATATACTGTGTGCCAGGCTTACATGAGATACAAGAAGCCACTTTCTTGTTTTTCTTCATCCCTGTCCCAAAGTCGTACTGTACTTCCCGTACAGTTCCTCTCTGGGGACTTCTAGAGCTCATGTGCACAGGTAGCAGGAGCTCAGAATTTGTTGAGTGACAATAATGTTCTTTTCATATTAGTTCCTTACTATTTATTGGCTCACAGTCACTCTGACAGTCTCTGTTTCTGTAGAGCAGCTGTGGGTCTAGCTGGGCATGATGGTGCATACCTATAATTCAAGCTACTTGGGAGGCTGAGGCAGGAGGATTGCGCTTCCAAGGCCAGTCTGGGCCACTTAGTGAAACAAAATAAAAATGGGTGGGAATGTGACAGAGTGCTTGCCTAGCAGGTTTGAGACTCTAGTTTACACACACACACACACACACACACACACACACACACGGTTGTGGATCTCCCCAACAGGGGGTCTGTCTGAGAGATTTCTTTTCCTTCAGTCCTGCTCACTTTTCCCAGAAAGTTATATTTCCCTACTCGATTAACAGATGCCATTTTCACCTTTGATCAAGGCTAAAAAACAATTACAATGTCTGGTGGCAGCAATCAATATCGTAATAAAATTACACCTAATTTACTAGTACTTCGGGTGCACCAAGGTTCATTTATCTGAGAAGAGTGTTTCAAAGTTGCAAACTGAGGAAGACGCAGTTGGCCATGAAATTTTTATGCCCAGCCTTCACTAAAGCAGCTGTGAACTGCCAAGACCTCCCAGCTCTGACCCACTTAGGAAATCAGTGCAGTAGGATGTGAGCTGCCCAGGCGTCCCCAAATGTCCAGGTCATGGGAGCAGACCTGGTGGCAGCAGGGTGGCCAAAGCCCCTATAGCTGACCTGGACTGCATGGGATTGGAATTTACTTGTATCTCCATGGTAGCCCTTATTATTGCTTCCGAGAAAATGGGGTGCTTTCCTCCAAGCAGGAGAGTGTGGAGAAAGAGCGCAGACAGGAGGAGCCAGGCCAGGAGACAAATGGTTTCCTGGGGAACACAGCCCAGGCGTGGAGTGAGGAAGGTCCAGCCCAAGAGCCACACAAGGACAAGTGGCCCAAACCCATTTTCTGCAGATAGCGCGCGAGATCCTCGCAGCCAGCTGGAGGCTCTGCTTTGTCTTCAGATAATTAATACCACCGAAGTGGGCTTCCAGGGGTGGGCAGCACATCCCATGGTGGGCTTGGAGGGATCATCATCCTGAAAGTTCTGGCCAATGGCTTCCCATTGGCCATTCTCCTCCTTGGGAAAGATCAGGGCCAAGCGGGTCCCCGACCTCTCTCCTTCACAGGCCCCCTCTCTGTGAACAGTGGCACCAATCCCAAGACACCCACTTCCTTCTCTGGCATCATACACCTGCCACTAACCTCCACCAGCACGGTCAGCTGGGCTGCGTGGGCATGTGCTTGGTCCTCTGACCGCATGACCTCTGTTGGGCTCTGTGATCACTGCTTCCAGCTGTGTGACCTCAGGCCCATCCCTAAACCTCTCTGTCCCTCTGCTTCTTCATCATAGAGTGTCGATGGTAATGATAACCAAAATTGGGCTTGATCCAGGATTAAACCAATAAGGCCACTAGAGAAAGGCCCTGGGGACGGGGAGGGTGACACATAGCCAGCCTTTGTGATTAGTCAGACCTGTCCCATGCTTCCTGAAACAGCACACACAGGCCTTGTGGTCAGCGGGAGGCTCCAGTTTGTCTTCAGATAATTACTGCCACCTTCCTCCCTGTCACTTCCGTGACTCCAGCTGCGGCCCTGCCCCAGGGGACCAGCTCTCTGTGGCTCCCTGCTTCCCTCCTGCCCACGCCCACTCTGTATGCTTCAGCTGGAGGGGACTTAGTCACAGTGCTTCGGTTTCCTGGATGGCTGAACAAATTACCCCAAACTGCAGGGCTGAAACAACATGCATTTATCCGATTGCCATTTGGAGGCCAGAAGCCTACAATCAAGGGCTGCACAAGGCCATGGTCCCCGTGAGGCTCTAGGATCCTGTTTGCCTTTTCCGGTGGCTGCCAACTTCCGAGGCTCCATCTTCCACCTGCGTGTGGCTCCCCCGATCCATCCCTTGGTGGGGAGCAGGCATGGCGTGTGACCCAACAGGGTGACGCTCAGGCGCTCAGCTGTTGAGACTTATTCAGAGTCATGCAGAAGGGTAGTCAAAGTACCCTCCAGGGCCCAGGCCAGGCCAGGCACTACCAGTTGGGACGGAATAGATTAAGTTCTAACTGTGGTGAGAAGTCATTGGAGGTTTTTGAACAAGGAGCAAAATGATCTGACTTGTACTTTATAAAGGTCTCTCCAGCTTAGAGTTGCCAGATATAGCAAATAGAAATAGAGGGTGATCAGTTAAATTAGTTTTAAATAAACAGTTTTTAGCGAAAGTGTACACCAAATACTGCACAGCACTTATAGGGGCTGATCAGAAAATATGGTGTGTATTTACATTTTTAAAATTTATCACAATAAAAAACACATTGCCATTAATTCCCTTCAGCATACTCCCCCTCACTTCAAACACGCTTGTCCCAACTTTCTTGCCACTTTCCCAAAGCAGTTCTGGAAGTCCTCTTTCATGAGTGCCTTTAATTGCAATGTTGTCAAAATGCATTCGGCAATTTCTGTCAAATAAAAGCATTATGGTGTCTCCTCATCCACTTTATTCAGCAGATCTGGCATTGTGTGACTTCTGGCTCTTCCCCAAAGTCAAAATGACTATGGAAGAAGGGAAATGTTCTGAATTGATTCAGGACACTGAGGCAGCTGTGACAGCACAACTAAAGACGTTCAGGAAAGAGCACTTCCAGGACTGCTCCAAAAAGCAACAAGAATGATGGGATGAGTGTGTCTGAAGTGGGGGAGATAATCGCAATGTGTCTTTTACTGTAGTAAACAGTTTTCATTTTAAACATTCACCTTGTTTCAGCCTTGTACTTATGCTGAAAAATGCTCATTTCTGACCTGAGGATGTGCTGTATTTTTCTAGCCATCTCACCCTGGCTGTTGCGAGGAAGGCAAGGCCAGAGCAGGGCCAGGCACCAGGAGGAAGCTGGAGCATTGCCCAAGGGCATGATGGTGGTGGCTCTGCTGAGGGGGCAGCAGCATGGACAGAGAGAAACAGCAGGCAGATTCTCACAGGGCTCTGCTAAGGGCAAAAAGTGAGCAGTCTCCTGTGGCCAGGACTGGCGGGCAAAGGAACCGAGGAAGGCAGTCTGGAGAAAGAGAAGGAAGCAGGCTTGGGAAGGGTGCCAGAGATGTGGG